ATTATTTGCGTTCAACAATGAATCAAGATCGTTTGGCATCGCTCGCACTTATGTCTATTGAATACGACATTTTGCGTAGTTTGGAATTCGACAGCATAATACAAGATTTCGTTGAATCCAAAAATCGCAAAAAAGTAATATATTAGATCATAAGATTCTGCAAAATAATTTATTACCGAAAAATATTATATTTTTATTTGTATCTTCATAATTTTGTGCAAAATACACTTGTTGTTTTTAAAGCTAAATTATTTTTGTCAACAAATTTTTTTCTCCCAAGATTTCGTAGGCCCCTGAATTTCGTAGGCCCTAGGCACGTGCCTAGTGTGCCTATAGGTTAACCCGGCCCTGCCCACAACAAAATTGATCCTATGCTATTTTATTGGAAAGTGCTTTTTCTCCCTCATCATCTCATCAGCAATTATATGTCAGTAAGAATTCTTAAGAAAATTACTCATAGAAACTTGTTTTACTTTTAAAACATTTATTGTTCAAATAAATGCAGTAAGAGCATTAGACAATGATGGCACAGCCAAATTCTTATATAACAGTTTCAAAAGAACACATTCAGTTTTGAGTTATAATTCATTAATATATGCAAAGTGTTAATAAAAGTTTGAAATAAAAAATATTCAGTAAAGACTGAAATTGTTAATAGTATGCATTAAAATATAAGTAGACAACTTCTTAAAATGGCAATAACAAGTAACTAACGTTTTAAAGAGATCACAAACAAGAAAGACTAGTGGTTTGATTTAGCTAACTTTTAACAGCTCTATACAGAGTGGCTTAAAAAACCGACAAATTCAAAAAACACAGAAAAGCTGGAAATATATTCTAACTTCCTGATTTTATTTTAGCCATTCTGTATAAACAAAAGTGCATTAATTTTAAATAATAGCAGTCTATGACAGTTTCATTGAAGAAATGAAATTTTCGACTAGCAATTTTTAGGGTTTTTATGCACTATACTTTTTGATCAAACCAACATGACACAAAAATAAATTTTGGCATAAGCAAAATAAAACATAATATGCTCAACATAAATCAACAAAATTGTTTTTGGAATGATTATTCATAAAATATAGCCACATAAGCAAAAAATGCTTGACGTCACTGATTCATACGGCGTAGGTCTCAGCTTTATTCCAGTTGCAGTTCTCATATTGAATCATGCAAACACAAATTTCAATGTGAAGATTTCTTCTAAAGTTCTGATTCATTTTCTAAAAATAAAATACATAGTTATCTACAGTAACACTCTACACTAGTTATCTACGATACTTCGCGTTCTAGGACTCCATTTAATGGTTCGAGGGGGTGACCTCAAAAATGATAATTAGTGCAGAGGATATTTTAAGTTACGAAATCAGATATAAAAATGTCTATTTTCAAAATAAACATACCTTTTTTTCGATGAATTTGAATTTTTTACTAAAAAAATATAGGGGTAGCCTCAATCTGCAAAAAATTGTACCTTAAGTTTGGACCCTTTATGTTAATTTTACTTTTTTGCGTTTTTCATCGTATCTCGAGAACTTTTTAAGTGAATTGAAAACATTTTGCTCACAATTATAAAATTAGTTTACATTTCGTAGCTTAATATATCATTTGCAAGAATTAATCAGCATATTTGAGATCATCTCCTCAAACCATGAAGATCCGATCATTAGATAAAAAGTTATGCGGAGTGGTCCATTTTTTGCACCCTGTACATCGCAACAATATAGAAATTCAAAAGTTCGTTGTAAATATGTCATAAGTTTTGGAATAAATAACAAATAGAGGTTTTAATCTTCTGTGTCTTTGTGAATAAAGACACAAGAACTACCTCAATGAGTGATGGATTTGGCCATTCACAACTAATTTGAAGTTTCAAACCGAGTTTCTAAGATCACCTGAACTGAAGCAAAAGTGCTTTGACTGCATATCCCTTATGAGGAAAATAGACTGCAAGCATTATGAATGGACGCAGATTGATCACTTATAACTAGAATTCACGAAATCATATAATAATGATTCGGAGGAAATACTGGTATATGTGCATACTACACTACCGCAATTCAGATTGAAGGGGAGATGGTGGCAGTAATCATCCAACCCCCTCAACTGTACATGGAATATTCCAATTACAAAATGACCATGTTTGATTAGATTAGATTATATTCTTAACCACTAACAGCGTGCATAGCATTTTTAAAAAGTACTTAAAGTAAAAGTACTTTAAAGGTGCTTTTTTTATTGGGTGTTTTTAAAAAGTGTTAAATTTTCGCTTTTCGAAAATTAGATTTTTTTTCTTTACCATGTCGATTTTTACCACACATTATGTAAAAGTGTAGTCTTTACATTGTTCTATTCAAAGTTCTCACAAATCACTCAAACACAATGCATTTCGGCGTAGCGTATGAAAGCGCCAATCATTTTACATGTTTGATGAAATGCTTGCACGTCCGCACGTGCATATACTCATCTGGATTCAGTGGGAATCATTCTTGCACTCTCATGTGCAACTCGACTGCATTTTGCAAGAGATTCTCAATTTCCGTCTTCATTTTCCTCCTTCAGAAATCGAACCGAAAAAAATTTCTATCTTTTTATAATGGCTAATATAATCGAGAAAAGAGTTATTTTATATTGATCATGCAAAGTCTCTGAAAATTATTTTGACATTTTTTTAATGTATATAGTGCTTAAAAGGCGCTTATTTTATGTTGAAAGATTTGGCTACGCACCCTGACTAAGATACGAGCACATCAAGTACACCTAGCCTTTAACACAAAGCACAAGGAACGGAACCCTAGCCCAAGTTGTAGTAGGTGAAGTTGAAAACTAAATCCACCATATTAATGGACTGGCCATGTCATTTTCATTGTATATGAAAAGTAAGGTAATCTATGTGGATCAGAGGGACCATAGAGGTTGAAGTAATACAATTTATCGACCTATAGTATGATTATGGTAATGAAGTCAGCATTGCGCACATGCTGCCTTTATTTCTCAGATATTCTGGTACCCATCAGTCAGAAGCTATATGGGATTTAAGTCACCACAGGGAATCAAACCCCTGTTCTTCGCAGTGGCAATTCAGTGCCTAAATCGACTTTGCCGCAGCAGTTTGATACATTGTTTATTATTAAAATTTTGTTTATAACAAAAAGAAAAAATTAAAGCTATTAATTACTATTTTAAGGATTTTTTTTTCGAAATTTAGAGAATATTGTTATGAATAATAATGAAATAATTTAAGTGTTTCACTACTTACAGTTGAGCTGATCTTGGCCCATATAATCCTCCCTTCAATACATTCAAGAAAGTCTTCCATCTGTCATCCAAACCAGCTCTCTTTTGAACTTTTTGCAAAATCCTGAAACAATTTAAAAAATATTTCCATCAAGAATAAAAGTAATCCGTTTTATGTAAGTGTACTAGATGCAGTAACTCCTTAATATTATATTACACATTAGGACACCTTGCATTTTAAGGCGATGGAATTCTGTCTTGCCATGCATTTGATCAAAAGTTAGATTAGATGTTGTATCAATGGGAAGGTGACCGGAATAGCCTGGTTGGTAGGGTGCTGGACTTACTCTCATAAGAACGGGAATTCAAATCCATCCGATGAAAGACCCCTTGCATAGTAAATAGTTACTGGTGCACGTTAAATCTGTCGAGTCACAAAGTTCCCCATGTTCCCATAACAAATTATACCACTGAGGGTACTGGATTAGAAATTTTATTTTATATTCGTTGTTGAACAGCCGACCCAGTTTTTCGATTTACGACTACTAATGTTCAACTCCGTAACCTTGTAATTTTGAACCAATCCAGAATACGAGGAAGCTCCTGGATCAGTACCGCTAGAGGTATGATTTGTTATGGGAACATGGGGGACTTTGTGACACGTCAGATTTAACGTGCATCAATCACCATTTACTACACGGGGAGTCTTTGACCAGCGGGGATAAAACCCATGATCTTTTGGACATAGCCCCAGTGCCCTACCAACCAGGCTATCCCAGCCCTAGATTAGAGATTGACCGTATCCTGGTTCAGGTCAAAGTTATGATTTGTGGATGTATGAATGAGTCCTCCCTGTAAGCGGGTGTGGCCAGAAGTCGAATTCTTGGCCATGGATGGCACGATTAGAAAACAAGAACAATTGCACCGCCGATTGCCTTAATGACCTACGTCAACAACGACATCAATAGGGAGAAGGTTGAAAATCCTATTAATCAACTTTTTTTGTGCATCCAGAATGTCTTTATTATTATTATTTTCCTTGATAGCATGCTAAGGAAATTTTAATAGTTTTTATAAACAATATTGTCCTAATACATATTTAATTGTATATAAAATAATTTTGCTAAAATATTTTATGGTATAAAACTCAAAATATTGTAGTAAAGGAAGAGATTGTCATAATTTCTTGTAATTCATTTTTTTAGCTATCACAGTGTTCTCTCCTAATTCAAAATATTCTTAAAATAAAACTTACATTGAAATGGCAATATATGCAACTTTTGCCGTAATAATGGAGGGCATGTTAAAGTAGTACAATATTTTCATCGAACGATACTGCAGAAGTCTGTATCCAAAATCCTTGTTAAATTCCACAATAGCTCGCTCAATTTCTGAAAGAAAAATAATTTTTTCAAGACATTTAAAAGTACAAAATGGATAATGACAAGTAAAACTCAATTGAAGAAGTACAAGTATTAGCTTTTATTACTGACTCAAAAAGAATTATATTCTAAGCCTGAAAAAAAAACGTAATGTACAGTGCCTTGAGGTTGTGCAACCATTTTTTATGTAAAAAATCCAATCACTATATTCACAATAACTTATAATAAAATGATAACCATTAATTGAATTTATTTAATCTAACTCAAATGTAGTCCCTCAATGGACTGATCGGTGGGGACCATTAAAACACTGGCTGCAGTCAGTAAGCGGGTGGGTGACCACTTGGATCAGTCTGCATAGGGACCGAGGGTGTGCGGTATTGGTCCTCGTTAAACTGTGCTACCGTAAAGGATCGACTTCGCGTGCAGGTCATCGGGCTACCGAAGCGAGGGTGCCATTCCCTCTGCAGAGGATCAAAATTGTGATGGCATGTCTTTGGATCATCCTCAGGGATGTTTCTCAGACCGTCTCCATTAGCTCACAGCTCTAGTGTGATGTAATTAAAAAAGTACCTAAATCAAATGTAATTGATTTTTAGAGATTAATTTTTTCTTTCTTCCAGATATAACTTGGAAAAAAAAGGGACCAAGTGTAACATAAAATTTTGATATCAAGCAATATCAGGGTATCAGTGAACCTGGAAAGTCATGAATTTTAGTATTGGACAAAATTTGTCATGAAATGTCATGATTTTAACTATTTTTTAAAGAAAAATCGTGGAAAGTCATGGATTTAAGTCGACGAAAAATCTAATTTTCAAAATGGATTTTACCTCTCCCCCTAATTGTTCGAATATCTGAATGTGTAACAAAATCCCCACTCGCAGTCATGTTTTATTAAAATATAAAATGTTTTTATCATGTTCTTTAAAAATTATGGTGTTCTTTTTAAAAATAAAGAAAAGGCATTATTTCGAGAGTGAATTATCTTTTAAACTTCTGTGATTTCAGAATTTGTATTATTATTTTTATTTTATCAATTTAAAATTTTAGCTAAAGCAAGCCAGTCATTGACGAAATTTTTTATTCCGAAATGAGAACAGAAAAATCGAGAGTATTTCTTTCCTTTCCGATGAACAAGAAAAGCATCTTTAGAATGTAATTCTGCCGAAAAAAATAATTGCTTTTGTATTTTTTTCAGCTATTTTATTGCTTCAACTCTTTCTTTACTCTGTTTCTTAAATTTAAAATCTATAAATATGAAGATGCAGAGTATAACAGTTTTGGTTATACCTATTATTTATGTGAATGTTATTATAATGCTTTTTTAAATTTATTATTGTGTTTTTGTCGGAGAGAATAGTAACTTCATTAAGTCATGAAAATTCTTGGAATTAGTCATGGAAAGTTATGAAAAGTCATGAATTTGAAAATCTAAAATGTAGCAGATACCCTGAGTTTTTTAAATAGATTTTGACATGTACAATATTCAAATATGTTATTTATTTTGAGATCATTTGACTTATTCTTTAGATACTCTCATAGAACATTCTATGTTGATTTAAGAAAAATTGCAGTCATTATAATGTTCCAGTGGTGTGTTGGGAAAATTTGTGTAGTTCCATGATGTTGATTGTACAAAACCAGGGATCGACATAAGTGTTCGCAAGACTTTCTGCTTATTATTAGGAAAAACTAGTATTTTTATTAGTATGAATATTTAAAAAAACATAGATTTAGTATGCTATATACATAGTAGTTCCTGTGTACTTTTTTATACATTGAACAATTTTATATTATATTGGAACAATTTTAATTGAAATTTTTATTATTACTCTACTTTTGATTGGTAGACTGATGTGCATTTATACCAGAAACCGCTTATTTAAAATGCATGCCTGTTTTTAAGTGTCAATTTATCAAAGTGACACATATACAGTGACTTCATTTTCAAGAGGTTCTGGAGAAGATTGTGCAATCACCGTAAATTTATTCGAAAATGAAAATGTATAGAAAATATTCCACAAACCAATATGAGATTGTTTGTTCTAAAAATGGTATTATTTTTGTCACTTTTATATTGGAATATGACACAATAATACAAATTGTTGATTTATGATGGACTGTACAACGTCATCAGCAAATGTGTTACAAATTCCTGTTTGCGACTGTGAGATCCAATGGAAATTGGAAAAAGAAAGCTAAAACGATAAAGCTTTTAAGTGACGTGACAGGGTTTGAGCCTTACACCTCATGAATACTGAGAACAAATTTCCAAACTTCACCGCCAAGATATAACAAGAGCTTCAATATTTTTCTCTCTGTTATTCAGTAAAAAAAGTATTTTAATGAACAACTCAATGACTTCTATATAAGTATCATATATAAATCCATTGTCTCAAAATCTTTCTAAACAATTTTATGTTATCTTAAGTGGAATTTCCTTGTTATTATAGCTATATGAGGGAAACATTACTTTCTGCTCAGAATTCATCACATAAAAAAGAGGAAAATCTGGTTCACTAACTTTTTTCTAGGGCTTTATATTTTATTTTATTTCATAACCGTCGTTGAACAGCCGACCCAATTTTATGGGTTGACGACTACTGATGTTCAACTACACAACATTGTAATTTTGAACCTAATCCAGAAGACAAGGGAACTCCTGGATCGACTATCGGGAGAAATTTGCCTTCGTGGAGGACTTTTTGATGGAGCTAACCCGCGTTTCCGTTGCATGGAGAGGAAGACCACGAAAACCTCCCACGATAAGCCTGACGGCAAGAGGACTCTAACCCATGATCCGGATATTTCACGCCCGCACTGTGGTCGGTGCAAGCCGGATGCGGAATTCAAATCGACTGTGATTCAAACACGGTTCGTCTCTTTGGAAGGCGAATGCTCTCCTTTGTTTTATATTATAAAAATGAGAAATTTATACCATTCGTGATTTCAGGCTGAACTGTATCTTTCGGAGGTTTACAGCTTAAGTGATCTGGTTTTCCGCTACCTTGGCAATCAGGACAAGGTACTAAACCTGAAAAATTTTTAAAAATATATTAATACAAAAACAAGAAAGCCGAAACTGTTCATAGAAATCTCCTTTTAATTAACAAAACTTATATTTTTACAAAAATTAATTAGTGGATGATCCCTTTTTAAGCCGCATTAGAAAATCCATATTGACAACATCTGGCCCAAACCTAAGGGCTTAAATTGAGTTTTATATCTTTTGAAAACTGCATGATAGAAAATTATTGATGCTGTATTTACTCAAAATATAACAAAAAATTGGAAAATGATTTAAAAGAAGACTTGGAAAATTATGACACTCCTAAATTGGAGAAATAATAATGCATGCCTGAGAAATGCTTGTTTTGGTTTACTATATCATGAGTTCCATTTATGCAGAAAGGTATTCTATTTATTTCTCCATGTCTCTCGGGGAATTAATATGAATGTGCTTTCTTAATTTAAGCTATCTAATGAATATTTTTGAATACATTGAAATGTATTCTATAAAACTAGCAACCAAATGTTAAGATTACAAATACTTTTTCCAACTCTTTCAAAGTTTAAAATTTTTTTAAAGTTTGAACTTTAAAAAATATTTACATTCATAAAATTTGGTTATCTGTTCTATATAGAACCAAGTCATCCAATTTTAAGATAGAAAATATTTAACTATTTTATTAAAATACTTGAAATCTTCAAACTTAATTACTAGGTTTCATGAAACAAATTTCAATGAATAAAATGTAGCAAAAAATATTCTAAAATCGTAACTATCAATAGTTTTGCTTTTCCTTCAAGGTCATTTATTATTTTTAGGTTGAGCTTTGTTTGAGCTGCATGTTTTTCTAATGTCTGTGTCGTTTCAGAATCCTGCATCCTCTACATCACACAGCATTTCAAACCAAAACACAACTCAAAAGTTTCAAATAGAATATTTTAGAACACCCGTCATACAGCCCAGACCTTTAATTTTTTCCTTTACCTGAAAGAGCATCTTGCAGGGCAAAACTTTCGCGACAATAATGAGATCAAAACATACGTTGAAAAGGGGTTCGATAACAAGCAATAAAGTTCCATAGTTCCGAAAGCTTGTACCCACACTTAACAAATGCTTTGACAACAGCGGCAACTACATAATAATAAGGAAAACTAGGCATGTTACCAGTAAGTAATTTGTAATGTACATTTAATCAGTTTAAATTTTTTAAAGTGAATATGTGGCATTTGTATTTTTGCTTTTCGAAAACGCATCGTAATTCTTCCTAGTTTAACATGAGGGATCTTAAATAGATAAAGAGCAACATTTTTGTCACAAGCTTCTTTGTCAAAATTTCACTTTAATTAAATTATTTTGTGTACGTCAAACAAACAATAGTTTAAAGGATATTTAAACAAAATTTTCATGATAAAACTATTGCATGCTAAAATTTTTCAATGAATTCTTACGAAAAAAAAATCTGTATTTTTTTTTTGCCCCCATTGGTATTTGTTCTATAATTTTGCACAAATACTTCTTTTTGTTAAAAATAAAATAAAAATTAAAAGTATGTCACCAGATTATTGTAATTTATTTTTATACAAATTGATTATCAAAAGAAAATATTTCCTACCATTATCTCTTAAGAATCGTAGGGCATCATCAAAACCTTGCTGGCATATTTCTTTCTGAATCTCAGGAGCTGCAGGGAAAAGGACTCGGAACAGCATGTACATGTTTTTAGGAGACAGCTGAAAACATGTTTCCAAACTTAATTTTACTACTCAAATTCAAAAGTGGTATTAAAATTATTTTAGTCTGCAATTTTAGCACACATGGTAGGTTTTGTAATTTTTATTTATTTGTTTAAAAATTAATTTTTCCATTATACTTAAAATACATCTAGTATCAAAACCTTTGGTGCCCAAGTGTCAAAAATAGAACACAGGGATCATTTAAAGGAAAGTACTGGCCCACCTTAGGCTTTTTGGTGTTGATGTTGAAAAATATTTTAACTTGGTTAGCTTCAATTATTCGGTTTGATTTGATTCAAAACAAAAATGCTTTTAAACTTTTTTTTCATGAATGATTATATATTTTTTTTTTTTGAATTTTGTTGAGGTTAATAGTTTTTAATTTTGTTAAATTATATGAGAATTTTATCTAACAAAATTCTTTTCAACTTTCATGAAAAATAAAAAATTCGAACTATGAAATAATTTTTTTAACATTAGGTAATTTTGTTGCTTAGTAGATTTTTTTCTTTAAAAAAATGTTTCAACTAAAGATAGTATTATTGTGAAATACAAAAAAAATTATGTCATTTCTAACCCTCAAAAATATAGAAAAAAAAAAAAACGAGTANACAAACAATAGTTTAAAGGATATTTAAACAAAATTTTCATGATAAAACTATTGCATGCTAAAATTTTTCAATGAATTCTTACGAAAAAAAAATCTGTATTTTTTTTTTGCCCCCATTGGTATTTGTTCTATAATTTTGCACAAATACTTCTTTTTGTTAAAAATAAAATAAAAATTAAAAGTATGTCACCAGATTATTGTAATTTATTTTTATACAAATTGATTATCAAAAGAAAATATTTCCTACCATTATCTCTTAAGAATCGTAGGGCATCATCAAAACCTTGCTGGCATATCTCTTTCTGAATCTCGGGAGCTGCAGGGAAAAGGACTCGGAACAGCATGTACATGTTTTTAGGAGACAGCTGAAAACATGTTTCTAAACTTAATTTTAATACTCAAATTCAAAATACAGTACAGAACCCGTTATCCGGAAACCAAAAAACCGGAACGAAATTCGATAAATTTTCCCGCCATTTTTTCTTTTTTTCAAATTTTTTTTCCTCATAAGATTTTAGGATTTTTCTTTCGTTTTTGAAAGATGTTTACCTTACCATCATTTTGGAAATAATCATTAGTGTATTACTTCATCGTTTTTCTTTTTAAGATTTCAAAATATTGTTTTGTTTTTTTTTAGTTGGGTTTAACAATTGAAAAAACGGCTTTTTGTAGCAATTCAGAAAACCGGAAAAATCAGTTATCCGGAATAAAGATGGTCCCGATCATTCCGGACAATCGGTTCCCTACTGTAGTTATTAAAATAATTTTAGCACAAATAATAGGTTTTGTAATTATTTGTTTAAAAACTGGTTTTCCCTTTTAAAATACATCCAGTATCAAAATTTTTGGAACTGGTGCCCCATGTCAAAAATAAAACACAGTGGAATAAAATTTGAAGGGAGGCACTGGCCCACCTTAGGCTCTCTGGTGATGATGTTGAAAAATTTAACTTGGTTAGCTTTAATTACTTGATTTGATTTGATTCAAAATAAAAATGCTTTTAAACTTTTTTCTTACATGAATGATCTATCTATAGATATATTTTTCTGAATGTTTGTTGAGGTTAATAGTTTTTAATTATATGAAAATTTTGTCGAACAAAATTCTTTTCAACTCTCAAGAAAAAATAAATAAAATTGGAACTATGAAATAATTTTTTTAACGTTAGGTAATTTTGTTGCTTGACTGATTTTTTTCTTTAATACAAAAATGTCTGAAATGTTTCAACAAAAGTTACTATTATTGTGAAAAACAAAACAAAAATTATGTTATTTCTAACCCCCAAAAATATAGAAAAAAAAAGCAAGAGCAATTTTTGTTTTAATTTTAAAAAAAACGGGTATAAAAAAGGTTAAAGCAAAATATTAAGAAAAAAGAATTTTTTAAATTTTATTTAGAAAAAAAATACAAGCAAAAAATTTTTTAAACTCAAAAAATTTTTAGATATGAAAAAAATACATGATTGCTTGCAAACAAACCGGATTCATGTTAATTTCCAGTTATTAAATGTAAACTTAACACGATTTTGGTGAAATATTTTTCAAAGTGGTATTAATTTGTTTTAAACCTCTCGAATATTTAAAAACTTCACTGCGTGATTATCAGGTGTTTTGATATATATTTTTGAATTTTTACCTGACATAGTGGTCAACAAATTAAAATATTAATGAAGTAAATAACGAGTTACATCAATAAATAAAGAACTAAATATTAAAAAGTAAATATTGATTTCATTAGAAATAATGGATACTACTCGAATATTACTGACGATTTGAAAGATAAGTTAAAAAAAGTACAGGAAAAAATGTATAGTTTGCTGTATTTTATGGAGAAAAAAAAACTAGGCTCTACGCTATACATTTTTACGAAATTTAAAAATTAGTAACTATGACCTACTAACTGAGAAAACTATAAAACAATGAAATCTGTTGCATGTTGTACAAACTGCACAACGCTGTTGCTGCAGACGATATTCATTTATAATCAAGAACATTGTTTATATTTTTTTCTCAGCCATCTGTTGACAAACTTAGTAACGAACTGCGTGGGGTAAATCCTAGTTTCCTAAGTGGAAGGCAGCAAATCATTCATTATTCATTCCTATTTCTCTCATTTTACTTTACTTTTTCAAATCATCGGCCATTATTTCCTATGAGCTGCACAATCGGTCTTCCCGATGAGCAGACCTAGTGCGTTCGCCAGAAGTGGTATCCACTCTTTCAGGACCACCACAATGGGTGAGATACCGTTGGCCATGTTAATTTGGACGTCTAGTTTTTGCCACACTAGATGGCAGCACCGAGACTAATTGGATGCTAAAGTGCAATCATCGGCCATTATTGTGGCCGTCATTATACTATATCAAACAGAAATAATTATGATATAAAAGAAGAGATCTTACACCAATACTTGTATTAGATAAAGTAAAAGCTTTTAGGAACATTCCATCGTTTTCTGGACATATATCAGAATTTCCAGAGAAAGGTGCCACAGTCACGGTATATTTATTCAGCCAAGGTGAATTGTTGCTTAAAGCCGCATCTACGTATCTCTGAAAATATAGTAAACCAAAATTATTTGACAACACCTAATTCCACTAACACAGCTAACTAAATTTTTATCAATTTTAGAGCAAATTTTCCGAAAAAATATTGAGTAGAATAAAAAGAAATTTTTCAATCAACGATTATGCATGTGATTCTATAATTTGAACCAACATTATTATTTAATACTGAAAAATTTCATTTTGTACTGCTAGTTTTTAGAGAAAATGTGAATTTCATCTTAATGGCAATGAAAAATATAATTAAAAAAAACGAGACATTTTATTGCTTTTGTGGTTCAGATATTTCTAAATATTACAAAAATATCCTTATAAATTTTAGAAGATTACATTAATAACTTTTTTGGATTATCACGTGTGCTAGACACATCACTTAAAGAGAATTAATTTGACACTAAGTTTTCCGAAGAACTTAACGATGTCATTTTTTTATTTATTTCAAGCTGTGTCTAATTATTCTGAAGAAAAAAAAATTAAAAATTATATCATGCGCTGAATTGAATATTGAAAAAAAGGAGGGGAAAATAAATCAGCAACTTAATTGTGTTCAGTCTCCTTAAATATATATATATTTTTAACCTTTAATAAAAGAATAAGTAAATTGCAGGTCATACCTCACCATCTATGCAGGGGGGTTCATAACCACAATAGAGAGGAATAAAACAGCTACACATTAATGACTAGAAATAAAAGAAGCATTAATAACATTTTCTTATCTAATAATAATAACAAAGCTTTTTTCTTCCAAAAAAACGTTAAAGAAAAATAAAGTTTTGCTTGTTTTTTTTATGATTGTTTATCTTTTTGGTGGTATCATTAGTAAGTATACTCTAGAAATTTATTCATTTCATTATTTGCGAAACCTTAACTTAAAAATTCTTTAAACAAAAATATTTAATTATGATAGGCGTGAAATTTTTTTTATTACGTTTCACAAGCTTTTGTAGGAATTGTTTTGATTTAAATTAAAGGTATCTTTTTTTTTCTCTCCTTAACTTTATCAATGACAGCCTTCATTAAACTTTTTGTTAGAGCTGAGCGACATATCGTTAAAGATCACTATCTGATATCGTAATATCTAACATCGTAAAAGGAATATTTAATAAGTATTCACAGAATATTTCATATCATACGATAAATATCAAACATAAAAACTAGTTATCGATAATGACATATTTCAAATATGATATATCATTATAGCATGTAGTGCCGCAAGTATCATTTAAAAACCATATTATAGTGATCAATCTCATTTGGCTAGCGAAATATAGACCAATGTAAGAATATTAATTAAATTTAAAAAAAAGCGAACATTAAAATTCCGATATCACCCGCACCCGGCACAAATTGGTAAGGTTGCCTTTTTATGTCTATGTAAAAGAGTTGCTCATTTTTAAGCAACCAATACATTTTCACAGGGCAAACATTTTAGTAAATCCAACTAACTATTACGAAAACTTTTTTTTTTTACTCCCGCATACTTCAAAATTTTAGTAATTTTCGAAAATTGTAACAAATTTTTAGGCTTCTTCAAAATAAAAAAATGAGTAAAGTAGCATCTTCTCAAAAATTTTCTGTTCGATGAGTACAAAAGATGCTTAAAAAATTGCGTTTTTATGTCACTAACAAAAGTAGCACTAATAATATATTGATTTTTGAAAAGGAATTTCAAAAACGAACGTTAAGACCAGTATTTGAAGAACATTTTCTATTAGTATTAATATAAATTATAAGTACATAACATTTTACGGGAGAGAGCCGCAGAAAAAAACTCTGATCTTTTTTGAGGGGGGAATGTGAGCAATAAATTTTTCAATACAATCGATAATAATTTTATATTGTGATTAAGACAATATCAATTTGCTTTTAAAAAATTAAAAGCAAAAAATGCAGCAAATTATATGCAACATTTTCAGAGCATATGCATAATATTTCCTATTGAAATTTTCCACTCTTAATCTGGTTTTAAAATTTCTCTATGTAAAAACTAATTTTTTTTTTTTTTTTTAAATAAACTCCATTTTTTAATAAATAAACTTTTATTCTTAAATAATCTCTTAAACAATACATATTTGTTTTCAACATTCTTTGGTTAAAGAAAAAATTATAAAAAAATAAATTAATTAAAACTTCTTAAGATTTCAATTTTTTTTAACATCTTCCATTAGTACCCCTACATATATTGGAATTCGAATGTTATAAATTCAGTGTTTTATCAAGATTTATTGAAATTAGTTTGAAAAGTAGTCCAAGCACTTCTTATGTCAGTCATAGTAATTTTGGTTTAATTAAGTTCAGGTGAGAGGCCGAGTTCTGTATTTTTACCGGCAGCAGGTAAACACTACACTCCCTTAACTCTCATTTCCCTACGTAAAATGAATAATTAACACATATCAATTAAAATAATTGCAAACCAGTTTTTAAGAAGACTTTTCGAAAGCTCATACCCTTAGTAGCTCATCTCTGCTGCTGAAACTGTTTAAAAGAACATTTTTACCAGAATCGAAATGGGTTGCAGACGCATGTAATTTCCCATCGCAAATACTATGGGCATCAGGAGGAAGCATTGCATTCATGCTTTCATAAAGAACACCCATGATATTCAAATCAGGTGACATTGGACCTAGAATACCATTTCGAACTTTCATGGAAACATCGAACACGTATCTTGCACACACATCTGAAATGAAAAAAAAAATGAACGTTTATATATATTTTCTTGATTTACTAACAAATCAAAAATATGCCATTCAAATTATATATATGTAATATCAGGGCTACAACCCTGATGTCATGGGTTGATTTTAGCTCAAATAAACCAGTCGTGAACCAAAATACTCCTTTAACAGCTTTATTTATAGGTAGGTTGTTGGTGGTAACAGTTAGCACCCATTCTCCACACTGGAGGCGGGTGGACAGCACTCTCGGACAATTCCGACAGAGATTATCAGGATCACATCATGTTGAAAAAGACACGCAAAAACGATTGTTCCTGCATTATATACTACAGAAAATAAGGTAAAAAGGCTCAAGTCGTGCATACCTTGTAACTCAACGCATCATCGATAATCATTTAATGCTTCCTAATATGAAAGTGAAAGAGGGAAAGATTTTGAATATATAAATCTAATTATAATTCATTGGTAGGTTTTCAGCCTTCAAGTTTCAAAATAGAATATTTCTACACCTATTCTTTACCAAAGACATTTTATGAAAACGAAAGAGTTTTAATGGTTTTATTAATACAAAAGTACTTATAATTTTTGAATTATATATACAGGGTGTTCCAAAATTATATTTACATCACCTGGCTTGAAATTGGTTACAGATTGGAAGTGATTAGGGCCACCAATGGTGCGCATGTTGAAGTGTACTAAACAAAACTTTATTAGTTGCAGTAATACATGCAAAAGACAGAATATAAATATCTTGTTTATTTTCGAAGTTATGAATTTTNATCATATCTGTTTCTTTGTAGTTCACAGGAAAGATTATAGATAAAATCAAATTTGAAATCTTATACCTTTGTACTTATTGGATTTTTTTAATTCTTTTTCTTAGTTGCAAATAGACTACTCTGTTTTAGTATCGTTTAGTAGCAACTAGACTAATTGGATGAAGATATAGTATATTTAGTGCTATGAGTGAATAAATTACAAATAAAGGGAATAGAAATGGACATACTATGGTTTTGGTTCTGTAAAAATGTTCCTCAATTGTTGAATTGCTTAGTGTCCATTTTGTGTTACGACACTGTGAGAAAGTTTTATAATTTATTGAACCAGAACTATTTATAGTTTGTCTACGGTAAGAACTCCGCCTGCCACAAATTTTAAGGCTATATGCTGCTATGGAAACAAGAATAGCGTTTTTCATGGAGGATAGCTTCTCTTCACTCTAGGGCAGACATAATAGACCGAAGAAAAAAAATTTCCTTTTTGTCACGGACCCCAGCCAAAACCTGTCCTCAACAGTGACCCCACACCCCTACTTCAAATAGTTAGGCCACGTTACCATAGTCACCACCACGGCTCCAGACGAATGGCTCGGGGAGTTCTTACTTCAGACAAACTATAAGTGCGTTTTGTGCCAGTATTTGTGTTTTATTTACACTATTTTGATATATTTAGACGAACTGGCTTAATATCTTTTAGTCGCAACTAAACTAATCAGTTTTTAATACGATTCAAAGTAGTTTGTCTTATCTGTTTTCATATCTTTCTTAGTAGCAATTGGACTGATCAGTTTTTATATTTATCAGTTTATCATACGTATTATAATATATTATACTTATAGTAACTAAAATGTTCCCAATTCGACCATAAAGTTAGAGGGAATACCAAAGATTCTTATCAACAATAATATAATTAAATACATTAATTATATTAAATTTCTTTAAATTAAATATTATTTTTAAGAAAATGCAGAATATAGACCTGATAATGGAAATATCAATTTAAAAAAAATATATTAATAAACAAAATGCTAATACCGGACGTTAAGAAGTTAAATAATAATAAAGAGTAATTTATCAACTTTTTTTTGAAAGATAAGAGTTTTCAAATATCCAAGAAATAGCTGTCAGTTATTTTGAAATGCTATTTGAATAATTAGCATCCTCATACAATGAACGCTGGCATTAGAAAAGGAAATTTCAATCAGAACTGTCAAAAGCACGAGTTGAATCACATCGGAATGTCCAAACACGTTTTCAGCATTAATTAACCGAATATTATTTCATTTAAACGCAGTTATTTAAGATGGAAAACTATTTTCCTTATATTGCAGTTCTTAGCTTTATATTATGCAATTAAATTTTAAAGAAAATAATAACGTCTTTTTTGTTGCACAAAATGGGAACTGACAACACAATCAAATAATAATCTTTACACAATATAATAATTAATTAATCGGGAGTTTATTTTTTATGCTAGTTAGTTTAAATGCACTGTCGCATGTTCTAAAAATTATTCAAAATAAATAAAGTGTATGAAATTGATAATTTTGATGAACATAGTATGGGGACTTTCAAACATAACGTAAGCATGTTTTGGGCTCTTTTGTACTCCCCCTCGTCATGAAAAATAAACAAATCAAAAACCCTTCGGATGCTAGGGTAACAAAATTATAAAGTCACAACATCATCCCTTGTTTTTAAACTCTAGTAATCAAGATTCAATTTAAATTTTTTAAAAATTAACTTAACTTCGTGTAACAAAAGTTAGTTTACATGAATAAAATATGGCCGGGATAGCGTGGTCGGTAGGGCGCTGGGCCCATGTTCGTGGGTTCGAACCGAGCCGGCGAAGACTCCCCGTGTAGTAAAGTGACTGATGCACGTTAAATCTGTCGAGTCGCAAAAGTCCTCCATGTTCCCATAACAAATCAAAACCTCTGGGGGTACTGGATTGGAGATCGATCGTTCTCTGATTCAGGTCAAAGTTACGATCTGTGGATAAATGAATGGGTCCGCCCTATGAACGGGTGCGACGTATGGTGTGGCAGAAATCGAATTCTTGCCCATAGATGGCGCCACTGAAAAGCAAGAAACGCACACTCTGCCTTAAATTTGCTCGGTTTCACCAAGCAGGCTTGCCCGTGTAGCAAGTGGCATTAGAAACAACAACATGAATAAAATAATCTTTATAGGAATCTTCTGAATCTTTTACTTCTGAGATCAAAGGTTTTGACCAAAGCATGTAGGAAAAAATGATAATTCTAAATTTTTCTTAATTTTAAAACTGTAACAAAGAATAGCGAACATTTAAAATTCTTTTGCATTTATAAAAATTTATAAACTGAAAATGAGGTAATATTAAAACATTTATCATACCCTTCCCACCCCCGTCGTGCAAATAAAAAAACTTTCCTCTCATTAGCATAATATTTGAACACATCCTGTTTCGTAATGACCTTCCTTAATATATATTTATCCTTGTCAAAATTGAATGCAAGAAAAGTAAGTTCCCAAATTAATATTTAAGGGAGAAAAAAAAAACTTCTTTAAAATCTGTCAAATCAAAGGATATAAAACGTTAAGACCAGTTTGATTGCTTAGAGAAATTTCGAGGTGCTTTCATTTATCCCTTTTCAACCACTGTTTTCTCAGGCAATAAAACTGATTTTCGATATTTTCAAGTTCCTATTTTCTTCAACCTGCATCAGCGTTACATGCATAGATAAATCACAATAACACCCCGCAGTTTACCCGCCAACAAAGAAACTTGCCTGTTTGTCCCTGGTATTTAGCGTCAGAATCTCAAATTAGAAAAAAAGTGTGATTTTTTTTTTTTAAACTTACGTAGTGATTAAAAATTTTCAGGTTTAAATCTTTACAATTGTTGAATAACAGGGTCATTAATAATCCGTTTTTCGAAACGTTGAAAGATATACTCATTATGATCATTTCAAAATCAGCATATTAAATGAGAGAAAAGGGAATAAACAACTTTATCTCTCTTAACTTATTTTGGAGATGAACTATTGTCAAGTCAGTTCTTATAAAGATAACTCTTATGAATTCATGGCTGACCACTTATTCGAATGGTAAGATCTCTTTATCTGCAGAAATAATAAGAACAAGTAATACCGGCAATACAGCGATTGTTGTTAACATGTTCCAGGGACAAATTTAATTGGCTTAAACCTCGGGAGGAAAGGAAGTAAAAACATATAGAAAAAAGTTCACAATTTTAAGTTCGACTTTTCGCAATGATATAACAAGGTAAAATGAAACAGTTAATTGAAAATTAAGATGTCAAATTTTATACCAAACAAAAAAAAAATATAACTAGCCTAAATTCTAAAATATCTATGTCGCTTCCAGGGGATAGAGTGCTCGCCTCTCAATGCGGTGACCGGGGTTTGAATCCCAACGATAGCTGGTCGATATAAAAACTGCATCTGGTTCGCATCAACCACAGTGCTGACGTAAAATATCCTCAGAGGAAGACGGATCATGTGTTAGTCTCCTTGCCATTAGGATAACCATGGGAAATTTTCGCGGTTTTCCTCTCCGTGTTAAGCAAGTGTGGGTTAGTTCCGTCAAAAAGTCCTCCACGAAAGTAAATTTCTCCCAATACGTGATTCAGGAGTTCCATTGTCTTCTGGATTGGGTATAAAATCACAAAGCTACGGAGTTGAACATTAATAGTCGTAAACTTAAAAATAGGGTCGGCTGTTCAACGACTGCTATAAAACAAAATATTACGCGTGGCTCCGAGGATAGAGAGCTCGCTTCCCAATGAGGTAACCCAGGTCCGGTCCCAGCATTGACTGATCGATTTGAATTCTGAGAACATAAGATATCCCCTGTGGTAGATTAATCATGAATTAAACAACCCTTGCAGTCGGGTTAACATCGGGAGGTTTCGTGATTTTCCTTTTCATAAACCGCGAATGCTGGTTAGTTTCATCAAAAAGACCTCCAAGAGATTTGTTTTGTCCTAATGCTTAATTCAGTAGTTCCCTTGTCTTCAGGGTTGGGTTCAAAATTACAAGGTTAATGAGTTGAACATAAGTAGCTGTAAATGTGTGTTCAGCGCCAGTTAAAAAATAAAATATAAATTTTATAAATGCATTAAAAATACTTGGGAAAAAAGAGGCATTAATATAGCATAGGTAAATCCGTAGTTTTCCATAAATCCACAATGGTATCTAAAATTCGTCGAAATTGCAAAA